TCAATACGTCAATTAAACAATACAAACATATATATAGATATATATATAATGTATATATAAATGTTCAAGTATATATAATTAATTTTACTTGAACATTTTTAAAAGTTTTATAAAAACAAAATTCAGGGTTCTAAGCACTTGCGTTGCCTATGGAAAACTTTAAAGTATTATACTCTAGCAATAATAATAATAATCATAATAATAATAGCAGGAACATCATCGACATCGACATCGACATCGAAAGTCTCCTTTATAACAGCAAAAATAACCGTTACAAAGGCAAAAAAAATTTATATACAAAAGTTTTGTAATAAAAGGAACAAAACGGTGGCCACATGCCAATATTCGTGCCAGTTAGTAAATGCGCCTATACAAAAGTGTGTATTTAAACAAAGCAATCACAGAAATGGAAAAATGGGGACTTCAAAAAGGTACGAAGGTGCAATGCACCGACTGGGAAAATGCTCTATAAATGGTGGGGAAACTTGCATTCTTGCTCATTCGTAAATATTCAACGAAGTTCAGTAAACGGAATCAATACTTCTTGGTTTACTGTCCGTTTTGAATAAATCTATAAATTTTACCATTTAAAATATAAAATAAATTCCAATAGAAAACTCTTTCGAAAGCTATCAGAGCTATTGTCAAGTACTTTAATATATTAACACAGATATACGTAATAATCTATTTGTAGAAATGTTCAATTCTTCTTTTAAATTGTAACTTTTCTAACAGATAGTGGGTTTCAAACGCATGCAATCTATATATGTTCTGTAAAGCGATTTATATATTTTTTTTGCAGTATTGGCAACCTTCAGCTTGGATAATATATTAAAAAGATATATATTTTTGAGATGTCAGATAGCTAAACTAATTTAAACTCCTTGATTTCAGTTCTAATCTTATTTATGTACCAGTCATTCCTTAGTTAAATTTCCTGAGTAACCAGTCTCAGATACATTGGTATATCGTAGACAATTGCAGTGCGGAATGTGATCATAAGACTCATGACAATTTAACAATATTAAATATGCTGCTAGCTTTTTGCAAAAAGTCAGAGAATAATCACTGCACCAGCATTTTAATTGGGGTAGTTTAATAATCAACTCTATACATATTGCCTCTATATACATTAGATACAAATCTAACAACCTTGTTACGTATAACAAACCCTTATGACTGATTTCTTTACCATATATTAAAGTAGTTACAGAAGTTGGAGGTTTCCTCTCTAAACTGTCTTCAGGAAAATACATAGTGATGCCCTTAGGAAGACGTCTTAAGAAGTGCCGAGGTTGGCTAAACTATCTTCAATGTTGCTATGATCTGGACGCCGTATGAGAGTGATGTTCACTCATCTATATGTTCTAACGATTGTTGCCCTAAATTCTTTTGCTAGTTTTGAGTTAATGGTGCAAGATTGAAATGCTTTTTTTGCCACTTGTCTGTCAATAAACCGTATATATATGCTTGACTTGTATGGTAACTAACCTGCATGAACTTCTAACATCTAAAACTTCAGCCTAAGAAACATTTGCTTCAATATACAGCCAAAGAGTTAGATTAACTCGTACTCGTAGTCAGATTTTTTTCACATTAAATACATTTCTTTGCAAGTTTTATTGGATTTCAGTCTCACATTGCGACTTTCGTTGCTTTCCACTTAGTGTTATAAATACTCACAATTTATGTAGTGACTCGTAAATGATCGTTGTCTTCCATGATTTAGAAATCTGCTTTTGTTCTAAGGTGTCATGTTCACCTCAATTGTTTAATATTTTTTCAGTTTCATTTCGATGGAAAACTATCGGTCATGTTCGGTCAAGCATGGTTGAAGGGTATATTAAGTTTTTGATTTCCGAGAACTATCTCAATATTCTATATGTATCAATCTATCGTATTCCATTACTTTATAGTTTTGTTCTCTTTAAATTATTCAATAAACCATACCATATAGGTGTACTTACGCTTACGTATCACACATGAGATTTTTTTGTCAAACTATTTTGTGAAGTGCGAAATTTGTGCCAAATTCGATATGTAATAGTATTCGATGTGTAATGTTGACAAACAAGTTTGATGGAAATCAAAAAATTATGATTTTCCTCAAAATCGTTCGTGTTTTTCTTTCGTATACAATCGGTTTTTTGTCGACTTACATGCAATATTTCATTCATATTAAGGAATGGATTTTGTTTGTTGTTTTTTTACTGGAGCGTGTTTAAAATATTGTCGACTGTGTTGATGTGTAATAGCAAGCGATGACAAAAAAGTTTGACAAAAAAATCTCATACGTAATACGTGCTTCTTGTCATAACCTCAAGCATATGAATGTGTGATGATAACTGAATTGTTGGCTGTCAATCAATTGCTACTCTTAATTAGTTACATTTAGATGAGCCGCAACAAAACAATGCGAACAGAGTAGCTTTTTGGAAGTAGGTAGCGCATGAAAATATTGTTTTATTCACATTATTTTATAGATATATTTTTATGTATTTAAAAACAAAATGAAATGGGAAAAAGCACAACAACACTCTTTTATGGAAAGTGGATTGCGAAATGCAAAAATTATTTCAAACTTTTGTGCATCCCGTGCATTGTGCGCCCGCACTTCGGTTCGGTGTTTGCCCGTACGTAATTTTGTGTTATTTACTGTGATTTTAGTGCAGATACAATGCCTTTCACTCGGCGCATTGCACTCCTTTGTTTAATGTGCGCTGTTGATTTATTTGTTTCCATGCTGATTTTTGTGTACCAAAAGTATTTAATGAAATTTCAATGGGAAACAGATTTTCCTACTTTTCCTACTTTTCCTACTTTCCTACTTTTCCCCCTCGTATTATTGTTATTGTTTTTGTTTTCATTTTATTTTGATTTTGATTTTGATTTTTATTCTTATTTATTTTTCCTGATGATTTTTCAGTTTTTTAGTGAAAGCCAAAAATTTTGATATTTTGCCAACTCATCATTAAAAATGTTGCCCGTTGCTCGCTACTCAGTACTCGCTACTCGTTACTCGCCACTCGCCATTCGCCATTCGCCACTCGTTATTTGTTATAAGTTGTTTGTTCTTTGTTTGTTCATTGTTATTTGTTATATTTTGTTGTATTTACATATTTTGTTTGGCAACGCTGTCGGAAATATTGTTTAAAGTTATTTTGAGGTTAAACTTTTTCAATTTATTTATTGTTACGAAAGATAGTATCTCTTCCAACATTAAACTCTGAAACAGTAATTAAAATTTTACTTAATTTATTGATGTCCTTTTTGTTTGCCTTACACTTGCTATCAATATATGTCCTAAGTATCTATTTCTTGGCGGTTTTGTCCTTTTATGTAGTATCTTTTTATGTTTCCTTTTTGGAATACTTACTTATTTACTGTTTGGTTTCATTCATTTAATTAGTTTTTATTTTATATTTTTCTTTACAGCGTATTGCTATAGTCACGCTTGTTAGTCCCTTTAACAAGGCCAGGAATAAAGATAAGAGTTTTTATAAATAGAAACCAATCCATTTAATAATATTTTATTTATGTAAGTTGGTAAGAATGTTACATTATTAAGTATATCAATTCTAAAGTAAAAAATTATTAAAAAAATGAATTTAGATTAGTTGGTTAAGGTGCGCTGATTCTGTGCTTCATATTTGGCAGGACCCGAGTTCGATTCCTGGTACTTGCAGTCTCAAAAATAATTATTTACGAATAAATAAATACAAGAATTATTTCCAAGACCACTGATGATGTGTATTTAGCACTACTCGAAACAGCTGTATGGTCAGCCAAAAATTCAATTAATTAAAATAATAAAAGAAATTAAATTTTTGTTGTTGTGTTTCACTACTGTTCGAAAAAACCTCTTTATAAAATTAATTTATCAATATTAATAGAAATTTTTAGTATTAGAAACATACTTAACATAGTTTTTATTAAGTATGTTTTTACATAATCTATAATACTTTTTAAAACAATTCAGAAACAGTTCATGAATTAGAGAATATATTAGAAAATAATTGATGAATAAAACATAATCACACGATTGACATTCGATAAACAGCGTTTCAAAAGCAAATAACAGAACACCAAAGACTTTAACACACTAAGTAGAATAGATGAAAGCAAAATTTTGGCTATGTCCAAATAGCGACCTCCTTCACGAAAATTGCTTTATACCAATTGGGATTCACACCAGTAACATCTTTAAGGTTCAGTTAGTCAGTTAGGCAGTACGTACCAGAGCACTGCAATAAGTTCTCAACACTCGAATCATTGACTGTGTTTTATTTATATACATTCTGACTGTCTTTTTTGTATATTCAACATCACCTGATTCCCCGGCACCATAGATAGCGGTACGAGTCTTTTCGCTAGTTAATAATGGTTTTCACTAGTTCTTGATTTGGAAAATACTAAAACGTACATTTTATATATTATTATATATATACTTATTTTAATATGTGTGCATATATATATTAAATATTTTTATATTACTAAAATTTCTGTTTCAACTGGTGAATCGTTTCATTACCAGGGGTCAACATATGCACCAGTTCCAAAATAAATAACTCTAATATGTGGTTGAAATACTTTGTTTTCTCTTGTTCAAAAATAATAGAATGCACTTATATATTCTAAGTGGTGATTTAACTCATAACCAAAGACCACTCATTTCACTAGTTCCTTTGGACTATTTCGTGTACTAGTGCCTAGCGACAATTGTCTCCTAAAGAACTGCTGGGATATTACATATGTGTCGTAGTATGTGTAGTAATATATATTTATATTATAATATATATATATATATATATATATATATAAACTAATTTCAGCGTAATAATAATTTCCAATGAACTTGAATTCCCATTAGTTTACTATTTAAATTACGCATAATCTGTTCGCATCATTTGTAATACTGAACGCATTCAAGTAATGAGTAGATCTGGCAATACTTAACCTACATCAGAAATAATAATGTTCTACTCTTCCATTTGATGACCAAACATCGAACGCACTAGACGTGTTTTGGAATTAGTTAAACGGTTAGTTAATTTGTCGCTATACGATTTATTAGTTTTATAATACCATTACTGTCATATTTTTATTACAATTTCTTGCATAAAAATTTCATTTCAGGTGGATTGTCTTCATTAACATTAGCACACAATGGCACTTATTATACTATTTATTGATAAAAATGACCATAGTGTGCCTACTTTGTACGAATATGATACAATTGACGGATTAGTCGAAGGAATATGCGATATGTATGAATGCGAGTTTATTGATAATAATCCGACATATGAAGCTCTCGTGTACGAAATGGAGGTTCTCTTCAATTTTGTTGATAACTTGCGGGAAATTTTGGTTTTAAAGCTCAATGAGACCACCAACTTATATTGGACACATGGCAGGGACTGGATTAAAACTCAAATTGAAGCATATATGCTTCGTAAGGCTGGCTATAATGTTATAGTAGATGACGCCGCTACTCCAACTGAATAGTATATATATATAGATATGTATATTTTTTTTTTAATTGTTAATATGAATATGTTTAGTTTTAAGAATCAATTTAAGAATTACATTAACTGAATTTTAAATAAAATGTTTTCAATAGAAAAAAAACTTAATTGGAATATTGTTATATAAAAAAAAATATGAATGTCAGATTTAATTTCTATTAATATTATTTAGAATTATATGTAGATTGTGTAAATTTTTTCGGATTTATGTAAATGGTTTTTGGCGCTTGCAAAGACAATGACTTATTTTTTTCCCGGAAATTCCGGAAATTAACCTGTCCTGTTGTCTGCACATCAGACAACTTTGTTTACAAGCATATACAGCCAACTGCAAAATCATTCTGCACGAAAACAGCTGTGCCAATTTTGGAACAATTTACTGACGACGCCCTCTAGCGGCGTATGGCAAGCATAACTAATTACAATAGCTTAACACTATATCGCCGATATATTTGAAGCTATTAAAGCTATTAATAGGGCCAATTTTATAATGCCGATTTAATATAAGACTTATAGTTATAAATGTAAATCTATTTAGTAAAACTAATAATAATATTATTATTAAGTGACCACTAACCAGCTCTTAAGGTTTACTTAACAACCTTCTGATATAAAAAAAATATCAGAAAATTTGTATCTAACACAAAATTGAAATCTTATATCTTAGATTTATTTATAATATTTTTTAAAAATTATATAATTTTTTTTTATGGCTTTTTTTTTTGGAGCTTCTTAAAATCAATATAGAATGAACAAGAAGTTATTACTGCTAATAGCAGTAGTTGAAAAAATAAGAAAATAGATAATAAATTATCCTTAACGAAACCTTCGCCCAATTTCGTTTCCATGTCGGGCTTTATTCTTTAATAGCCGGGTTTAAAAAATTTATTTTGAGTCGCTGGGTTCCCGTGCTTTTGATGAGATTGCTTGCAAGTGCGCTTTAGTCATTTCTGAATTTGACTGCGTACTCTTGTGAGTTGCTGAAAATTACACCTTTGACTGTGTTTATACGGAGAACTCTATGAATATTTGTGTTTTTCTAGGGGACATAGACTATTAGCCGGAAATATTTCGATTGAGCTCCATGAAGTTTTTTCAATGTTTAATAGAGAAACAGAGCTTCCGTGCTCAATTCCGTAGTTCCTTATGGGTTTTATCGTTGTATTGTGAAGTTGCACTTTATCGGTGAGATTTAGTTTGGAGTTTTTGTTATTCAGCCAGTTTAGTTCTTGTTGTTTGAATTTTAATTGGGGCAGGGTAGGTATCTCGTCGTAGAGTAAAGTTTAATTGTGCACTTTTCGATTCGTTGGTCTTGTACTGATTTTGTGACTGCAAATGGGTAGTGACTATGGTTGAAGATGACTGTGTCATACGCAAATGTCGATATTTTTATACAGTCACTGGTTGGCATATCTCCTATTCAAATCATATAAAGCAAGGGGCCCAATACACTACATTGGGAAACACCGGCTATAATGGGAAATGTATCAGTGACAAAACAATTTGTCTCTTCTGTTTGAGATATGGTTTTTAATTTGTGAGAATATATTGGTTGGTAAGTATTTTTTTAAAGTTTGTAAAACAATCCTTCTTGCCAAATTTTGTTGAAGGCTTGTGTTATGTCTAGAAAGACGTCTGAGCAATGACACCCTTTCTCAAATGTTTACTTAATTATTTGTATTATGCCGTGTACTTGTTCTATTGTGTTGTGCTTTTCTCTAAATCCAGTAGATGTTTTAGTATTATTCTTTTCTTATTTATGTAGAGCATCAACTGTTTTATTAGAAGTTTTTCAAATAATTTTGAGAGAATTGGAAGTAGACTTATGGGTCGATTTCATTTATGATTTCACCAACATTATGTTTTGAAGAGCATCCTAAAAAAGTTATTATTCTAAATTTAATGCACCACTTTTATATATAACTTTTGCATAGTTCTAGAGGAAATTACTACTTAACAATAGACAGGATATTGTTTTCTCTTTTATATGCAACTTTTTAATATTTTTATAATTTACAATATTAAAGAACTTTTTTCATAAATCGATTTATTTTTTTCTATTTAAATCTATTTGTAATCGTTAAGTATAAATCCTTCTACTTGACCCTTTTTAGTTGAGAGCACAACAATTACTCAAAACGAAGTCTTTAAGTGAAAAAGCGCTTTATAACACGATTAATAGAGTTTCGTGCAATAGCGGATTGGAGTTCATTGACGTCCAGTGGAGCATATTTTATGGAGCATACATAAAGTGCATGGTTCATAGTTGCCATTATGCTTTCCTAACGGATCATGTGATATACAATACAAAAATAAAAGCAAATTGTGACTTCCTAACATGCAAAAGGCATGCCGGGGCTTGTTACTAAGAGTACGAGTACTTCAATTTCATTCAGTTTTGCATTATTGAAATAACACAAAATTGTTTAAAAGAAAATAAACAAAAAAAATAAAAAATAAAATAAAAATATGAATAAATGTAAAACTCATTTTACTAAAGATTTCAACTGCATTTCATTTGAGTGCATCCATGACTGTTTTTACTTTATTAACTACAATAAATTTATTTAAGAAGTCTTCTGTACATAAAACAGGCACTTCTCTTATGTTTCATTCACTTTAAAAATCATCATAAAGCAAAGGCACTAAAACATGTACGGTAAAGGTAAAATAAGTAAAAAATAGTAAAAAAAAATAGTAAAAAAATAGTAAAAATATAGTAAAAAACATAGTAAAAAAATTGTAAAAAAGTAGTAAAAAAAAGTAAAAATATAGTAAAAAAAAGTGAAAAAAAAAATGTAAAAAAGTCAAAATGCAGTGCATAGGCACTTCTTTCATAGTATGAGCACGTTCTTATGTTGAATGTAGCAAACATTGAATGCAGAGTACTTAAGGTGCATACACGAGTGCAGCTAAACAAACACAGATACATGCAGTTAAAGCCACTAATACAGACACAAACGCAAATACAAGCAGAAACACTTGCATGTGTTCGAAGTTGCCGGACGCGGCATTCTTCTTGCGCCCGGGCTGTGAGTCCATGTGGGGCTTAGATGCATTCGTATTCGTATGGAGTAGCACTCGTACGCCACTAATACAAAATAGTTTTTGTTTGCGATAAAAAATTATATACGTTAGCAAAGTAATAGATTTTTAAAATTTTAGCATCCTTGTGCATCCATAAAGCCTTTTTATGAATATTAAATTAAAGTGGAAACATCTTCAAAAATACTAAATTATGCACATCGAATTTTCTTACATGGTTGCTTAGGTTTTCCACTTGAAAAATTATTTTAGCTCTATATGCTGTTATCGTTGTCGTTGCTGCTGTTGTTGTTGCTGTTGTTATTGTTGTTTTATTTGTTGAATTTTCTAATAACTGCACAACTCTGGCAGTTTTTCTGGCATTTGTGATTATGCTTATTGTATATTACCACACAGTACACAGATCCATATAAATACAAATAAAAATTTATTTTAGCATTAGTAAAGCAAAATAATCCTTAGCCAAAGATAAACAATTTCAACTAAAGAATTAACTTAAAAGAACTTGAAATTATGTGCATGAGTAATTTTTGCTTTGAAAAATATTATCAGTATTTGTTCTATAAACAAACAGATAAACACTTTCTAAACCTTAAAAATATTGAAAAAATATTTCTGCAGAAATTTTGTAACATAACGAAGATTTTGTTCAATTTTGTTGCTGCTATCTAGCACTTTTTCTTTTATTTGGCGTTATTTTGCACTTTTTCAAAGTTCGGGTTTAAGGTGCAGTTCGCTATTACTTTGACCTTTGCTATTTTTACTAAATAAAGTATTATTCATATCATAGTCTTACTTTAACATGAGTAAACTAAACTAATATCTAAAAACCATATTATGCAGGCAGTTATGGTCAAGTCAACGTGATATTATTGTTGTTCTTAATGTAAATTCAAAAATAAAGAATTGGAGAAAGAACGAAATGTCAGTCATTATTGGTGCTTATTAAAAGTAAATATGTGTATTTTTGTGTGAAAATCCATACAATAATAAATAATTTTTACATTTAGACTCTCCAGAAACCCCCCAGCTATCAAAGAGTAAAAGTGCCTAGATGAACTAACTTGGAAAAGGCTCAACATTAAACTTGGAAAAAACTATCATAATAAACTATCATAAAACTATCATAATAATTATAATAATAGTTTATCATAATAATAAACTATCATAATAATAGTAGGCAAGTATGACTATGACAATTGTGACTCTTTGTATAGCATGTCCATCATATCTTCATATAATTAGTTAAAGGTTTGCACAATATGAATCGTTTAACTTTCTTTGGATGTGTAAAAATTATGTAAATTCACGTCTAAAATAATAATTCCATAGTGAGCACTTTTTGCGTAGATTTTTTTCAAAACGCCATTAATTTAAAAAAACAATCTATGTTATATGATATTTGATTCGAAGGTGTAATAGGTCCATAATTCTTTAAAAAGAACGAACGTTTGGCATCAACAGATTTGACTGTGACTTGTTATTGAAAATGGTCTAATTACAAAAAAAAAACAGTGAATAAAAGTTGTCCATATTAAATAAAACTGCAAGATAATAGATAATAAAAAAAGAATAGTAAGGTTTTATTAAAATGGTCTAATATTAATATTGGTCTAATAATTTGAAATTGGTCTAATTATTAAAATAATGAAATGATTCCATTGGAAATGATCTGATAATAAAAAAAACAGTGGCTTTTTATTGGAAATTATATTATAACAACAAACTTTAAGTTGCTATTAAAATTGTTTTAACAGTGAAAAACTGTAGGTTTATTGAAAATGGTCAAATAATAAGAAAATATGTGAGTTGTAATTAAAAATAGTGCAATTATAATAAAACTGCAAGTTAATATAATAATAAAAATATATAAGTTGGCAATAAATATGGTCTAATATTAATATTGATCTAACAATTTTAAATTGGTCTAATATT